GTCAGAGAAATACCATATGGCCAAAACCGAAATCAGGCAGATATTCAGAAAGCATTGTGCCACAATCACACTGGCCTGTAGGCTCCAAGGATAACTGAAACTCCCCGAAGCCGAGAAGATCCCTTCCCCTGGCTCACCCACAGAGGGGGTGAGACCCCTAACAAAAGCCCAAACGGCAAACAGGTACCGCCCCCCCCCGCCCCCCCCGGCGATACAAAGGCATTATAAGCATTCAGTGGCCCGTATAACAACATAAGACCCTTTATATATTTTCCACCGATAACAAATGCCACCACTGGGATCACACACTGGATATAAGGGTTAATCCAGCCCCACCACACAATCAAGTGGGCCAGCATTGCAAACATTTTCTTATCAAACAAAATTACACTCAACAGATCGCTCTATCACAGTCTGGTCAGGGTCTGTCCCTTTTTATTCTTATTTCGAGCCCCACGTTTGTGCACCAATTAAGGCTGTTGTGGTTTAAGTCCTGCTGGGACCGGAGAGCACGTTGCTGTTGCCCCTCCACGACCCACACGGTCAGGATGGCAGTGAGGCACAAACCTGGGTTAAAATAAGAAGAAATTTAATACAACAGTGTGATAAACAATCTGAACAACAACAGTAGCAATGATAACAACAATAAACAGCAATAACAGTGAACGAGACAAACGATACACAGAGAAATACCACAAAATGGTCACGGAACAAAGCCAACGCGTGGGTCCCGCCACCAAAAAGCCAAAGAGAAAGTAAATTCAAAGTTTCCCGCCCCTGGACCTGACGGTCAGCATGGTATGAATAACCTGGCTGGAGATCCCTTCCCCCTCTCTCTCTGCTGGGGAAACTTATCCCTATCCTAGTTGAACCAGGACACTCAGTCAATGGTTTTGAATAGTTCTGTTATGGGCATGGCAGCATTAGCTGAGCTGGGAAGCACTGACAGGGCAGGAGGATGAGAAACCTGACGTAGGAATGCTAATGCAACTTCTCTTCCCCAGTAGACAAGACTCAAGCTGTCAGACCATGCATGCAGCCCCGGAGCTCTGTCAGCCAAATCTCTGCACTAACCCACCCCAGCTGAGCTCACGGTGATGGGGTCTTTTAGGGAAAAGCAAATCATTGACAGGAGGAACAGGAGACAAAGCAGAACCAGATAAGGAACAGAGACGACAGACCTTGGGAATGAATACATCCACAGATTTGGCAGGGCTTCAGAGCTGTCAACCAAAGCCTCCAGGAAGAAGTTCAGGATAAATACGGATGCATGGCTCAAATGGTCTGCTGTGGGTTGGAAGACACCAAGGAGCATCCTTCTGTCCTGCAGAACCCCATTGATTCAGCCTGGTTTGAGCCAGGGACAGCCCAGATGGGGGTCACTTTTCACCATTTCACAGCGAAGAGCCCAGCTAGTGGCATTAAGCCTGACCCAGAACCTAATGAATGCAGGATTACTTTTTCTTTCTTTTTTTTCCTTCAGTGATCTTGTTTCTAATAATAATAAGAAAGATAAAGCTCCCTTAGAATCGTGCCACAGGGATGCCACCACCCCTACATCATCAGCCCCTGCCCAAGGCCGCTGCGTTGTGAGGGGCTGGAGGGGGATGCTGTGACTTGCCACTCAGAAACAAGAGCTGGGCAGCATCCCGCTGGTGTCTGCTGGGATTAATATGCTGATAAAGAGATTCAGATCAATAAGACTGGCAGTTTCTACCAGCAAATGAATGGCTTTCAGTCTGTGGCTTAGAGAGTCATTAACTACCCAACCTGATCGCTGTCATTAGCAAGAAATCTCCACCATGCATCTACTCACCCCACTTTATCCACCAACCCATCTCCCACTCTTTCATTTCCACATCCACCTGGAGCCCTTCTCTCACCATCCCTCAGTTCCAGTTGTGATCACAAACAGGCTCTGGCATCTCTATTGAGCCAGGCTGGATCTGACGAGTGGGGAGGGGTAGGATATCATTTCCCCATGTCTAAGCTGCTTCTGTAATCCTGCAAGAAGGCTTTCTTTGGAGCTCTGGCCCAACTCTGCACAGCTGGCTCATAGCCACAATTACTTCCACTCTGAGCACACACAAAAAAGCTGAGCAAGAGGCCAGGGAATGGGTAGTTAGCCTCAAATGCCAGCAAGTCAGTCAAAGACAACTGGCACTAATTTGTCCCTGCGCCTTCTCCTGTCACAGCTGCCCCATTACATAGGGACAAGAAGTGTCTCCATCGGTCAGTCAGGACCACCCAGGAGCTGCTGGGGAGCTCAGAAGGCAAAGGATTTGGCAGCGGTCAGGATCTGAGAGTGCAGCCTCAAATCGTCACTTATGGAACATCGATCCCATCCCTCTCACTCCCTCCCATTGTAATCTCTGGTGCCCTCCTTCTTTCTGTCTTCTGCAAGCATGGCCAGAACCACCATGGGAATCAAGGGGAAGGAGGACACCACCCCACCATGGAGTTATTTCCATTTTTCTTGCTTTTCCTAAAACCAGGAAAAAAAAAAAAAGAGAGCTTACCAAAGGAGTCCCAGGTACCTGCTCATGAGAAGCAGGCATTAAGCAGGGCACTGAGAAGAAAAGTGCAGCAGAAACATTGCAATAATATGGGATAATTCTGCGGATGCTGTGAGGTGGCTGAATAGTAATATTTTCTGGAGTAGTATCGTATTGTAGGAGAGAAACCAGTAAACAAATATTTTCATTCAGCAGCAGGGGAAGCAGGGAGGCATGGCCATTCCCCAGGGAGCTTAAGAGGTGCTCCAGAGCAGGAGAGTCATTAGAAGTAAAGGAGAGCAATTGCTCAAGATTATGGCACTGACAGATACTAGCAAAGTCATATGCAGTGAAGAGCGCCGAGCAAGGCTCAGCTGTAATCTACAGCTGAGCATCGTGCCACCAGCCTCTCCCACACCCCCCCAAAAAAAACCAAAATTAAACCACTGGAGTATTGCACCCTGCTGCCATGTCTTGGAGAAAACCCCACATAAATTGGAAGCATCCACCAAAAGCCATCAGGATATCATCCCCCACTGCCCTACACTTCATGCTCACCATGGCCAGCACGCCCTAGGGTGGATAAATTGTGAAACCCCAAGCCCAGACCCTATGGGATCTGCATTTAAATGCAGCTTGGGAGATTTGGCTTTAAGTGGCTTGTTGAAAGGCTCAAGCTGCCACTCCTTTGCATCTACATTTCCCAGTTATAGGAACTGGTATGAAAGCTACTGCAACAGACAGCTGAACCAGACCAGGTTGATGTCTTATATCCTTTTGCCACCAAATGTACCAGAAAAGGATCATGTTGTATCTGGCAGATGTAGCAATTTGCACCTCTCCACATAGTGGCCCTTCAAGGCAGGTCCCATCCAAATGGTTTACACCATTGTTTGGTGGTTTCAAATTCTTATTAACCCATGTAGTCCCATGTGCTTATTCAAACCTGTACAAATGGCTAAGTCTTCAAACCTGTACGAATGGCTAAGCCCTCTTAGAGTCTAAATACAGAGTTATTAATGTTACTAAATATTGAGTTATTAAAGTTAGTTATTAATTAAGGCTGGACAATTCAAGAGCCATGAATAATACCTTTGAATACCTAAACCCCATAAATTCTTGAGGCTTAGTAAAGTTTCTGGTGATGCAGCAAGGAGGTTCTCAGCTCTTTGCATCTTTTTACCAGCAGTGTAAAGAGCCTGCTGACAAGATGTAATGTACTTGCTGCATCTTTTGCACTGCTGGTACAGAAAAAAACACAGACCACATCTCCAATGTTCATCTGTTCAGGTCCTACAAACCCAACATAGGTAGGGAGCCACAAACACAGCAATTTACATTCCTTCTTAAAATACTGCAAGAAATCCAATCGAGTATTGGCAGCTATTAGCTGGAAATCTCTAATTAGCTGTCCTGACACTGAAGCAATGCTAGGACTCCACTGAGAGCCTCTAACCACAGCACAATGTGCCCTCTGAGCAGCCACAATCTAGCAATCCTACTCCACCTGCATGTAAACTACCTTCTGCAAAGAAAACACAAGGCATACAGTATCTTTGGGTGCAATGACATTGCAGACATAGCCTGGCCTGCCTGTTAGTGCTAGCCGCTGATGGACCACGCGGCAATTCCTCATGGCAAACCAGTTGGAGTTAAGCATTGGTCAGCAGACAAGAGTCCCAACAAGAGTAATGGGGCTGAATCCATCCTGAGCACAACTGGGCTGGCACTGGTGATTTTAGGCTGGAGATAAATGTGGTCCTTGGAGGCTGGATTACCACCCAGGGGCTCACGATCGATACTGGAACACGAAGTGTTGTTCCAAATCAAGGCAAGGTTAACCTGTAATCCAGAGAACAGGCAGGGGGTGAAGCCACTTTAATGGGAGAGATTTTTCTGCTCAGACCGTCAACCTGAACAAGCTGGAGCCTGTGTGGTGTAATTTAATGGTGTTTAACATCAAGGCTGTCGTTCCTATAGCTACTGGGGGAAGCTTAGCAACCCTGGGCGCAGCTCCTGGGGCATGGGAGAAAACCAAAGGAGAGTGCAGAGATGCGTCACCATCACCCACATGTTAACCCTTTGAATCCTATATGCCATTCTGATGTGGCACTGAAAGCATATCCCATACAGGGTGTTTCTGGTGAAAACATCGGTATTTGGTGCTTTGTTAGTACCAGATTAACTGTTTCCTAAAAAAAAAAAAAAAAAATAGCATCAAGAATATTCCTCCGCCACTGTTCAAGGGCTATGGCAATGTCTGCTCACCAGCCATAGGCTCCACTCAGGGTTGATTAAGGCTCCACCAAAGCTGGCAGGACTGTGTGCGGGTTGAGTTGGCCCCACATCTTCTGGATGATTTTGCCCAGAAAAAACTTGACCCTCAGCACTGAGCACAGTCTCAGGAATAACAACCATTATGCTCTTTTTCTTCGATGTCCCCAGGTCCTCCCCGCACTTGGCTGACCAAGGCTGGCTTAGAAGGTCATTTCTTCTCCCAAGAAAATGGGGACTGACAGTGAAAACCCAATCCTGAGGAACGTGCTCATCAGCTTCAACTTGCTTCTGCTGAGCACTGTTCTCAAGCCTTTTGAGTGTCATCTGGAGGTGACAACAGAGCCAGCTGAGAGGCCAGTAGTGGATGAGGAGGGTGGCCTTGCCAACTGCAGCCCACCTATCAAAGAGCAGCCCATGGTCTTTCACCACATCTACAACATCAACATCCCCCTGGACAGCTGCTGCTCATCTGTGTTCAAGTCTTCAGCCGAGGAGGTGAGTTCAGAAGACGACCGTCTGGCAGAGTACGCAGAGCAGACCTCCGACAGCGAGAACCAGGTCACCTTCACCCACAGGATAAACTTGCCCAAGCAGGCCTGCAAGTGCTCCACTTCCCTCCCGTCCCTGCAGGAGCTGCTGAGCAGGATTGAGATGCTGGAGAGAGAGGTCTCCATGCTCCGGGACCAATGCAACTCCAATTGCTGCCAAGAAAATGCAGCCACAGGTAGTAATGCCATCCTGTTAGCTCTTGCTGGGGACTGAGGGCTCAAGCAAAAGGCAAGAGAAATAAATGCAAAACCAGTGATACCACTCAGAGTGGTGACAGAGGAAAACTTACGTTCACCCATGATGTGGCTGTGGCTTTAGGGGAAAAACTTGGCTTAGGTCCTCCAAGGCAGGAAAACCCCCAGGAGGGATTTGGTTGCTTGAGTCCCTATACCCCACTCGCTACAGAAACCCTGTAACAGCTAGAGCTGAAGCCCCATTACAGATAAAATTACTGCTGGTGAGGGGAGAGCACGGTGATCTCCCAACCCTGAAGTCCTTGCAATGCTGTTAGATATCTGCCCATGTTCACAGGACAGGGAGGAGACATGTAGCTGCTGATCTCCTAAGCTGTCCCTTAGCTGAAGACATGACTGCAGGAGCTGGCAATAAACCCCTTTATCTTGACTGTAGGAGGATGAAATGCATATGAAATCTGAGGTTTAAAAAAAAAAAAAAAAAAAAAAAAAAAAAAAAAAAAAAAAAAAAAAAAAAAAAAAAAAAAAAAAAAACAGGGAATAACTTCTGTTACCATGAAGGATGAAAACAAAACATATAACAAAGGCACAAATCCATCAACAGGATACTTCAGCTGAATAGAAATAGTTCTGGTTTGTGAAGCCCTCTAAGAGACCCCATTAGGGTTACCCCATCCAAGACAGCCCCTCATGTTACTCCAGCCATTCCTCAGAGCCAGGGAAGCAGAATGCAGTTGAAATTAGATGGGTTAGGAAATGTTTGGGCTAGAGGCTGCATTTCAAAAGCACAGGAGCCAAGATACTGATGATTTTCCTTATGTCTCAGGGAAGTCAGTAAGGGGGGATGTCTTGAAGGGCACCCATCCCTTGCGCAGCCCAGCCATGCCTGGGGCTCTATTGTACCAGATCTCCTCACAGGAAAAAGCCACCAAGTGAGGAGAGCCACGCAAGGCATCTTTCCAGCAGAAAACTTTTTTTCAGGCCAAGAACAACAACAGGAAGGAATTAAAATTAAAAGCAACCAATTTTCCCCCAATGGCCCCTTCCTTTTTTTTGAATTTTGCAGCTATTAGTGTGATTTCTCAGTGGTACCCCAACTCCTCGATGTGTAGGACACATTAAAGTGAAATGGCTGCAACACACACTCAGGTCAACAGGGTTGAACTAAGGGTGTGTGGGTCGGGGAGGGAGAAACCAGGATGGCACATGCAGCAGGGTGGCTCAGGCTAACATCTCCCATGCAGCCAGTGGAAGTCAGTGCATTTCCAGCCACAGGCTCAGTCCACATCCCCCTGCAATGAAACAGTCATCAACTACATTAATAATTAAGGCAAAATGGAAAACACACATGCATAACACTGGTGCATGCAAAGCAAGGGTTAGTATCAGGTAGGGAATGCAATGGGAAAAATATGTTTTAAAGGAATTCATTTGAAACTCTGATGGGCCTATTTGGGTTACTTGCAACATACACAGACAGTCCCATTAAACATTTATCGCTTCATGGAGTCTCCACTCTGATTGCAGATGCACTGAGCTAAAACTGGAGTAATTTCATTTATTTTTACCAGATTTCCTTTCAATTCACTGCACAGCAAAGGAGATCAGGATGTCTACCCCACCGCCCAAGGCATTTCCCCAAGGAAAGCCATTCTCTTCCAGCACACTTACAAGCATCCTCTCTCCTCTTTTGATAACTTAACTAGAGAATGAAATCTGAAGCGATCCTGATCATCATTCCCAGTATTCACAGTTCAGATGGGAATCATCCTGCAAAGTAATCCAAACTGGTCTGTCTGGCACAGCTTGTAACTGAACCCCTTTTACATGAGGGTCTGCCGCGACCCCCATAGGAAGAGCTGATCAAATAGCTCAGCTAGGATGGAAAACTTAGGAGACAAAAAGTCCTGTGACTTAGGGTCATTGTGGTGCAGAGGTTTCTCAAGGGTCAGGGGAGGCCTCTAGGGGTTTCTGTTCTTCGTCAGATCACACTAGGAAGAAAAGCAGAAAAATTAGCCTGGCTGTGTTAAACCCTAAGCTGGAGCAACAGGTCCATGTTACGGGGCAAAACAGGGGAGTGCTGGCAATGTCAGAGTGACTGGTGCCTTCATCCCCATGCATCCCTCCTTGCTCCAGAGTCCTGTGCAAGGCTGCCAGGTAAAGAGGGGACATGAGAGGTGGTGGCCACTGCAGCCATGTGCTTTCCCCACTATCCCACAACCCCATCATACCCAAACCCCCAATACTTTGTGCAAAGCCAATGGTTCCATCTTAATTGGGCACACCATGATAGGGATGAAGATGATGGTTTTGGGTACATACCTGCTTCTTGTAGGAAAGAGAGCAAGCATGCCAGGATCTCTTACCTGTAAAAAGGAACAGCAGGTGGAGAGGAGACAACAGGAGTCATGGCTGCTGCTGAAGGCTTGGCCAGAGAAGTCTTTTCCCAGTAAGAGGTCTAGGGAGGTCCCCACTGACTGAGTGTTGAACTGAAGAGAAACCAAAGGGAGTACTTGCACTCCAACAAGGCTGATGACACCCATAGCTATGGAGGCCAGTGCTCCCGAGGGGACAGACAAACTCCTGGAGACCCATCCAAACCCCTTCATGAGCCCATATCACCAATTCTGCCCCTGACAGCCTTAAATGCACCAGCTCCTCAGAGCTGGATATGCTCAACCAGAGGGAGGACCATCCCCTGTTTGCCCCACATCTTGCTCCCCTTCCCCATAGCCCATCAACAGGCTGACCTGTGACCAGTGCTGACCTTTTCCCACCTCCCACTTGGTGGACTCTGACCCTTAGTCCTGCATCCTTGCAGGGCAGCTGGATTACACCCCGCAGTGCAGTGGTCACGGGAACTTCAGCCTGGAGTCGTGCAGCTGCGTGTGCATGGAGGGCTGGGCGGGCAGCAACTGCTCTGAGCCCCGCTGCCCCCGGGGCTGCTCCAGCCGAGGCATCTGTCTGGAGGGCCAGTGCATCTGCGACAACGACTATGGGGGCGAGGACTGCTCACAGCTCCGCTGCCCGGCTGGCTGCGGCTCCCGTGGGCTCTGTGTGGACGGCGAGTGCATCTGTGAGGAAGGTTTCACCGGGGAGGACTGCTCCCAGCTGCGGTGCCCCCGCGACTGCTCAGGGAAGGGCCATTGCATCAACGGCACGTGTGTCTGCCAGGAGGGCTACGCTGGGGAGGACTGCGGGTGGCTGCACTGCCCCAATGCCTGCAGTGGCCGCGGGGTCTGCCAGGATGGCCTCTGCATCTGCGAGGAAGGCTACGAAGGGCAGGACTGCTCATCAGGTAGTGGGGGCATGTGTGGGGACAGACAGACCCTAATGTATGAGCAAGGGTTTCAAGGTGCCCATAAAGGGTTTCAAGGTGTACCATAAATCCTGGGAGAAACACATACCTGGCAGATCATGTCACATGGGTCCTGCTCAGGCCCTGCAGTTTGACTGCCTCCCTCTTGTCCCTGTCCCCAAAGATGCCACAGGCAAAAGTTCTGGAGGTGAGGAAAAAGCCAATGAGATTCACTCCAATATCAGTGGCAAACCCTTGCTGCACGAGCAGCTGAAGTTAGTTCTCCTCAGCCTTTGACTTGCTGTAGCAGTTAATGCAGCCACAGACAGCACATAACCCCCAGCCCAAAGTCCATGCCCGTGTCCCCCAAGCAGAACCACGCACCCTTCCCCACGGCCAGGTGGGAGGATAAGCCACACACACCCTGACATTCTTCTTACCTCTGCCCTTCCTATCAGTGGCTCCTCCTGAAAACCTGCGAGTGACAGGGATCAGCGACAGCTCCATCCAGCTGACATGGGACAGCACTGGGGCAGCCACCGAATACATCATCTCATACCAGCCAGCAGGGCTGGCAGGCACCCAGCTCCAGCAGCGGGTGCCTGGGGGGTGGAGCAGTATCACCATTATGGAGCTGGAACCAGGTGTTGCCTACAATGTTAGCATCTATGCGGTCATCAGTGATGTTTTGAGCATCCCTGTTACCTCCAAGGTGATGACCAGTAAGTATCCTACTGCAGTTGTTGCTTGGTACCCAGATAACCAGAGGTGATATTCAAGCTGGCTCAAATTTTCCATAAAAAATCTTCCAATAGCAGAAACTTGAGCCTTAAAAAAAAAAAAAAAAAAAAAGGGCTGATGTTTGTTTTTATCCCCATTTATGGGGATACAGGAAAGGAAAGTGGGATATGTGTCCACTCTCTGCAGAAAGACTCAGTCTGGATGAAAATGCAAATGACTAAAAATCAAAGAAACTTTCAGTGTTTGATAAAAACCCCCAGAATATGGCCCAAATTATTATACATTTTTCCTCACAGAAAATATTGTGATGCATCACAGAAGTCACAGGTTCTCCTCCCACTCCTGGATGGGTTCCCCATGATGAATCCCCATGACATGGGTAATAGCACAGCAAGAGGGGAGGCTGCTGTGCATCAGGAGATATGTAGTCCTGACCAGGACTGTGATGCACAGAGGAAATGGGGGTATCGGGCTGTAATGGCATCCTCCAGGAAGAATCCTCAGAAACTAAAACTATAGAGGGCAGGGGGAAAACATAAACTATCCAGACACCCCTTTTGCAACCCCATCATTCACTCTGTTCACACAATAATGCAATGGGATCCTTTGGTGTCCAGCAGCTCAGGCATTTCCCTCTTCTCCCTCCAACCCACCTGAAGTGGGGACAATGAATCTCTGCTAACAGCTACCAAAAGGTTCCCCATTTTCATTGCCCAGATTACAAAATAGCTACAGGGAGCAGGGTGGAGACTGGCAGAACCCACACACCTGTCCCGCTCTGCTCACAACCCCCCGCTCCCTTCCAGACCTCGCCACACCACAGGGGCTGAAGTTCAAGACCATCACAGAGACGACGGTGGAGGTGCAGTGGGAGCCCTTCTCCTTTCCCTTCGACGGCTGGGAGATCAGCTTCATCCCCAAGGTACTGCCACCGCACACATGGCATCACAAGGTACACCTGGTCACCCTAAAAGCATCTAGAGAGAGGATCCTAAATCAGTTTCCAATTACTCCACCTCCAAAAAAAATGAACCTCTGTTTGTAAGTTGTGTGCTTCATATCAGACAACCCCAAACACCTCAAACTTCAGGTGCCAGCTTGCATTTCCCCAGTAGTCTTTGGTGTCAAGACATACATGTCCTCAAAGAAATTCCCCAGTAAAATCAAGAGACAAGCATATAAATAAATAACCCTTACAGACTCACTGCCTCTTGCTGTCATCACCTCATTTCCCTTCCATCTCATTTACCATGACCCTTCCCCCTCCTCCTCTTCCTCATCCCTGTTCTCTGCACAATAAGCTACCCAATACAGCCTGGATCAAACTGAGCAGCCACCGTCTCTCAGACATCATCCTCAAGTCACAGGCACAGCTAATTCCTGCCACGGAATTTTAATCACAGTGATGAACAGGTAGAAATTGTGCCAGAAAAGATGAAAGCATGAAAATGTTGCCCTAAATATATCATATTTGCTATGCATGGCAACAAAAATTGTACATCAAGTATTTCATCTATATTCATAATTTCTACAGCATTTAGCCATAAGTATAGCTTCAATTGTATATGGAGCCTCTTTACAAGAGCATTCAAGCCCCAGCAGTAAAAGAAATGCTGATTAAGGGCTCAATTATGATGTTTTCACTTGTACAAAACCCTTGCTGGAGTCAAATGCAGCTCTGGGCAGTGGAAAACTGCAGAATTTGGCCCCTAAGTTTTAACTGCTCTGTAAAGTATCATTATACAGCATGAAGCAAGGGCCTGATTGCTCATTCCCTAATTTCCAAAAAGGCTAGAAGGATCTGGGTGCAATTTTGAGTACATCCACATGCAAATTGTGTCAGAAGTCAAAGTTCAGGTACTGCAGATGTAAACCCTGGAATAATTTTCATTCACTGTCAGAATAAAAGCCAAAACAATAAGGCAGAATCAGGGAAGAGATTTGGTAAAAAAAAAAAAATCTTTCAAACGTTTCACTGATACTCGGGAATTAAGCTCAAGAGCATCCCTTTGAAGCAGATAAATAGAGATATATCCATTTTAAGGTGAGGAATCTCTGGGATAGAAGCAAACTTCTCCTCACAGGGTCATCAATTCAGTGATGAGTTTTTCTCAAGACAGCCCAAAAATACAAACCATCAGTTCCTCCTATCCATTTTTAAGCTTCAAACTCAAAACCAAATGGAAACAGGATTTAAAGGAAGAGATAAGGTGCAAAAGGACAGCTTTCCTCGATGCAGATTTTTAGGGTGGGGAAGGGATGTAGCTGACTGGGCTTTGAAGCTCTTGGAGCTATCGGTCAGGCTGTAAAGGCACAGTTGTGATCCTGCTCGTCGGCTGTTGAAATTGGACTCTGTCGTCTCCATCATCAGCTTTTCTCCTAAAATAAGGCAGAGGGTGCTGTCTCCTTCACTGGATGGAAGCAACGTTTGCTTGAGCAAACACTAAACCATTGCCACACCCCAAATAAAACCAAAACCTCGTCCCAGAGGCTAAAAACAACAGTTATAACTGCAGCATCACAAATAACTTCTACAAGCAAAATCAAGCTCTCTCAGTCCTCATGAAAACTGGGTGAGAGGATGCTAATTTGGTCCTCAGCATCCCCATAAAGATTCTTGCACCCTCTCACAGAGCAATCCTCCTTCCATGGTCCACACAATGCTCTCACCCCCCCAAAGCCAGGTCAGGCCACCTGCTATGTGCACTGGAGATGGGGAGGGGGGAAAGATAAAGAGAAGACAGATTTCGAAAAAAAAAAAAAATAGGAAAGATAAGATGGCAATTTATGGCTAAAATGGAAGATTTCCTGTTTAATGAGAAAAAGAGATGAATATGAATTGAGAGCTATGTGCAAAGATTTGTTTAGCGTGTTATTAGTGAAGACAGCAGCAAGCAAAGATCCTTTGTCCAAACACTGGCAGGAAAGGTGACATTTGCAGTTGCTTAAAGCCTTACAGTTTTTCGGAGCAAATGTATAATGAGTTTAATAAAGATACTTAAAAAACAGGGGATGGCAAAATAAAGATCTTACAGTTTCATACCTATATATGAACAACAGAAGGCTCCTGGCACCTGAATAGCAGGGAAAAGGAGTCCATCCCAGGCTTTGGTTTGATTCTCTTTTCTCTTCGGGAGAACAACAGACACTCAGATGGCAAAATATAGAAGTAGGGCGAGGTACGAGGGAGGGGATGAGAATTGATGGGGGAGGATTTCTTAGCCCAACAATATGGGTGCTCCATGCTCAATAGGTGACTTCACCCTGGGTTTCTGCATCTCCATGGTGGGATGTGCCAGGGCAAGGATGAGATTTGGGGATGCAGGGCTGGGCATGGAAGGATGCAACATGGGGGGCACCTCCCAAAACACCTTTTTGTTGGGTTTTTTTTAACACTTATTTCTGCTCCCTGGCAGAATAATGAGGGAGGTGTGATCGCCCAGCTCCCCAGCACCGTCACCACCTTCAACCAGACTGGGCTGAAGCCTGGGGAAGAGTACACTGTCACCGTGGTGGCCCTGAAGGAACAAGCCAGGAGCCCTCCCACCTCCGACAGCGTCTCAACCCGTGAGTGAGCCCAACCACGATCAGCACAACAGTGCCCAGAATTTGGTCACCAAAATAAAGTCCCATCAGCGAGAGCAGCCTGGCACTGCATGGGCAGGAATAAAACTAGCACCAGCTAACTGCCCAAGCTGCAAGTGCATTGCAGCAACAGCTTCTTCGCTCTCCCTTCAGAATTGTTGCAAGCACAGAAAATGTGGCAAGGTTAATGGAGTTGGGAGCAAAGGCTCAGGTCCATTTTTATTATATAGCTGGATAAATTCCTCCTCTTCACTAATCTCGCATTTTGGAGGCTGGATGCCCCCAAGAAACTTCTCTATAGAACAGATTAAAACTCCCACCTGCTTTTGTGCCACTAAATGCCCTCTACTCCCACCATGTCAGGCAAATCAGGCAGCAGGGCAGGGAACCAGGAGCAACAGCATGTCCCTTCCTAACCAATTTATTTGGCTGGTCACTGATCCCTCCCATAGACTGGAGGAAGTTCAAGTGGGTCTTCTCCTTGCTGAAGGAGATGTGGCAATGGGCATGGCTTACTGGGGAGAAGAGGCTCTCCACATCAGATCTGCTGCAGTCTGCCTTGGCAGTCAGGCAGACATGTACCTCCATCCAAGCTGTTGCAAACGGAAACGGCATTTAAATAGCTGCTGGAGGGTTATAATGAGGTGATGCTCTCTCCAGGCTGCTAATTTGAGGCAACGATGAGAGCGAAGGGAGGGTCCCTCCACCAACAGCAGCTTGCTGCAGATCTGAGCTTCTTCAGCACAGTCCTGTCCTCTCGCCTTGCCTCCATGCTCAGCTTGAAGTGGCTTACCAGAGACATCTCCTGGTCAAGTCCAAATCTTCCTTTCCCTTGGAAGTCAGCAATAAATAGAGACTGGTACTTCAAACTCAGTGGCTGACCTTTGCAGGGGAACACAGATGGGGTGGTGAGCTCCAAGCTCTGCTCTGTGAAGGTGACACCATGCTGGCGTGTCTGACTTCCTCTGCAGCACCCCCATAGCTTTGCCCCCATCATGCTTGTTCTGCCTCAACATCTTGTGCTGGGATCGAGCAGCAAAAGTGTGATTTCATGTTGCACAGCTAAGTAGAACTTGATGCTTCCCAGCATTCCCTGGATGACTGGACAACATAAGGTAGTTGGAGATTCAGGGTTTGGATGAGCATGACCTGGTCCTGACCAAGCTGAACACCCAGCTCCTACCCAAACACCATGCTTCTCAGCTGTCCTCCCTTCTCCTCACCCCACTGCTACCAATACCCTCACATGCCTTTTTCTAACTCTCCCTGGTACCTGCCCACACATATGTCCTACAGAACTTCCCACCCTGGGGTGAAGCATTCAGCACATCCTTATTATTCAGTGTCATTTTCTAATACATACGGTATATTAGATGTACTTGCGTGCAGTATAGGCTGAATTACAGAACCAGCGTGGGTTTTTTCACCCACCTTGTGATCATGTGAGTGATAAAACGGGCTGTCCAGCAAGCTCCATGCATCAATTCTGCCATGGCACAGGAGTGACAGCCAGGCTTAGCCTGTCCATCCATCCGTTCACTGGTTAGGTCCTGCTGGACTCAAAACATCTATCACCCAGGCTTGAGCCCATGATTTCCAGAGGTCAGGTGTTAGGAGATGTGGAGGAGGGAAGGGTCCAGTTCTCTGCAAAATAAAGCAGAAATGTCCCAAATGGTCTCACATTAGATCTCTGGTATGAATTTAGCTAAAATGCCTTTATCTGAGACGGTTTGATGGACACCCATCATAGTCGCACACCTAGCTAGTTATGAAGACTCACCAGAGCAGTTGCATTTTCTCCTCTCTCCCCACTGATAAGGCATCAACAGCTTTACGAGCTGATCCTGCAGCTTAACGACAAACAAGGAGCTGGCACCAAAGCAGGAACATGTTCCTCAGTTCTCAGTGCTTGGATCAGTCCTTGGCCCAACGTTATTTAACACATTGTCAATGCCTTTCAAATGACATAATATCATTGCTGATAAATTTTGCCAGTGATGGAAAGGCTTGGAAAAGAGTAAATTGAATGGGAGAAGAGCATCAATAAAAGCAGTTTGAATGGCTCAAAGAGCTGGGCACAAAGGAAAACTATATGTTTTTCAAAGCATTGTGAAGTATGAGTAGTTATCTAGGAGCAAAGAAAGTAGACCACAGTTAGATACAGGAGGTTTTATCCTGGGAGATGCCACCTGAAAAAGCCAGGGAGGAATTCTTGCCCATAAGCAGCTCAAGAGAAGGGCATGAGTTGTATTATATCTGTAAGGGGCATCGATGGGAGAGCTACTGGGTCCTGCTCTGGTGTGCACTGCTTGGGATAGACATTGGTGAAGGAGAGAGGGTTCAGGAAAGAGTCAGAAGACTCTGACAAAGGACTGGGAACCCACCAGGATGAAATGCTCTGAGTACCTTGGGGCAGGGGGTCATGTCTCTTGCCTATGTCACCTCTCTGCCTTGTCCCCAGCTGCTAATTCAAGACACTCTGGAGGTCGGGTTGAAGCATCTCTGAAGTTTGGTGTCCCCAAAGCTGCCACCTTTCCCCATCCAACTCTCCCAAAATAACAGTTGCCTGTTTCCCCCCCTCCTCCACAGTCATCGATGGCCCAACGCAGATCCTGGTGCGGGACGTCTCCGACACAGTGGCCTTCGTTGAGTGGACGCCGCCACGTGCCAAAGTGGACGCCATCCTGCTGAAGTACGGGCTGGCGGACGGGGAGGGCGGGAGGACCACCTTCCGCCTGCAACCCCCCCTCAGCCAGTACTCCCTGCAGGCCCTGCGCCCTGGCGCCTGCTACCACCTTTCCGTCAGTGCCCTCCGGGGTGACAACGAGAGCCGGCCAGCCCTTGCTCAGTTCACCACAGGTAGCTAGATGGCTTTGCTGGGAGAACTAGCATGCATTTTTAAGCCTCCAGCAAGCATGGGCAGATGGCTTGCTGCAATCTGTAGATGGGCTCTCTTGGAATGAGCATGGGATTTTGCATATCTGGAGCCGAATCAAGGGGGTTTTGTACCTGGGATTTGGTGGTACCTGGGTTTTCCCTGGCACAAGTGAGCTGGGGTTTAATCTGGTATACTGGGAGGAATCAGCACAATGAAAACATGATGGTTAAGATTCAGGTCTGAATGGAGATGTCTGAATGCAGATGCCCCACATCCCAACACAATCCTGATGCAGAGCAAGGCAGAGCAAATGATTCAGCTCACCCTAAAACACACCCTAAACCACCCTCTGAAGTCTCCACTAGTGCCTACATTTCTCTTTAGTCCCCAGTCCTCCAGTACAACAGGTCTTCATGCCTTTTGCCCCACAGGGATGCTCGCATGGTCCCCAGGGCAGCCCAGGTGATCCCAGATGCCAGCAACCAGGCAGGTGACTCAAAAACCTGCATTTAGATGACAACCCCTGAGCAAAACCCATCTTGGCCACGTCCTGCTGCAGCATCAAGGCTGAACCTGCTGCTGCCTGGGACACATGTCCTCACCAGCAGAGGTGCTCATTCAAACACAGCTAAAACTTTAAAACCCAGCAGTTTATGCCCTTAACAGCACCCGTAGATCAACATGCAATTCTCAAAAGCACCAAAACAGCAAGCACAGGTCTGAATTCAAGGTGATACTTGCTCCCATTCAGCGTTGAGATGCCTTGCCTGAGGAATCAGCAGTCAAAGCGGCTGAATGCAGTCCAGTCAGAAACGTGGTTATCTTATTTTATATCTTCTCTGAAAACCCTAACTGGTCGGTAAAACTTTAATTAATGTTAAGCCTGCAGATAGCTAACAGGTTTAATTTACTGTGCCATAAAGGAGGAGGTAGAGCATGTATTTCAGTGCTGGTTTATGGTATATAAATTACTTGTCATGTACGTTACTGGCGGGTACTAGGCTTCTGCTATAATAACTGCAGTGTGTGAATTGTGTGTGTATATATCTCTATAGATAAATATTTTGGACGAGATGTTCACCCTGACTGATTTGCTGCATTAGCCTTCCTTGCTTTATTTCTAAAAGGCAACATAAAAAATCCCCACCTAAACACAGATCCATCAAGGAGCAGTAATTATCCCACATCTGCTGGTGCCCACTCCCTGCCCAGCACCAACCCATCACTCGCTGGAGAGGTTTATTGTGCAAACCAGAGCAGATTTGGTGCACAGCCTCAGCAGCACTAATAAACAAACCCTTCAGGCAACGTATGAGCATGAATGAGCCTGTAAAGATGCTCAAGGTTCTTCTAAGAGCAGTTCAGGCTAATGTGTGACTGCTACAGAGCCCTTTTTCTCTTAGGCACACCGCCTCAGTTTCCCTTACTCTAATATAGGAGGAAAACACTTTTCTTTTTCAAATAACATGCAATTAGCTCCCAAAGTGACTGAGGGATGTTGTGAATGCTCCAGCACTTGCGTCAGTCTCATGGCTGGTATCTACCAGTCTCTGCTGAGCAGGAGGTTTAAGAGCAGATGCCCCAGCCCTTTCTGAAGGGACATGCCCCAACGAGGAGGGGCCACACATGACATCACACCCGGGTACACCTCAACTGCTGTTTAGCTGTGCCAAGGCTACAGGGTGTGTTCCTGGTGCCCGACAGTGAGACTGTGCCTCTCTCCCTTGTGTTGCGCAGAGATTGATGCCCCCAAGAACCTGCGGGTGGGCTCACGGACACCTGCCAGCCTCGAGCTCGCCTGGGACAACAGCGAGGCTGAGGCACACAGCTACAGGGTGGTCTACAGCACCCTGGCTGGGGAACACTACCATGAAGTCCTGGTGCCGCGCGACACTGGTCCCACCACCCGGGCCACCCTTGCAGGTATGTGTGCACCCATGCACCCTTCTTCCCCCTCCTTCTCCTCTCCAACAGGTAGGACAAAGGAGAGTCCAAACTGGCACAAATTATCTGTTGCCCCTTATGCTGGCACATATTTGAGGCTGTTTTGGAGTTTACTAGTTACCAAAGAAAATATTTTCCTTTGGGATGAAGCTCATTTTCCCCTCTGTGGGTTTGGATTTGGGTGCTGCTTATCTGTGAGATGAACAATGCACTCCAAGTGATGCACCGCTCAGCAATGCACCTCCAGCAAGGGTCTGTCCAGCTGCCAAATAGAGCTGGCAAGGAGCAAAGTGAGAAACGGGGAGAGGAAGAATTTTAGGCTGATCTAGAGGAAAATAATATTTCACCCTTCCTTTTTTTTTCTTGCTGGGAAAGAGCTACAGGTGCTTATGCCCCGTAGGCAGTGATGGGAAACCAGGCTGTCCAAGTTCATTGGGTTTTTTCCTAACTGTGCACAACACAGATACAGATCCAGGGATGTTAATTTTGAGCATGTCCTTCAAGCAGTACATTATTTAGGTCAGCACAGGGGATGCCACTGGGCACTGCAACTACCACCCGCCTCCCACTGTCAGGGAAGTCCCAAACACCTTTTGCAGCAACACAGTGAAACACCGTGTGAGATCTGGTTTCCTTTTTTTCAACAACTGCTTGCCTGCTGGATTTGCAGCTCCAGTGGCATTTTTATTTTTTTTGAGCAAAGAAAAAACTTACACATATACAAAAAAGATCAGTCATTGAGCTTGAAACTCTCAGTATGGCAGGACACCAGATTCTTCCACATTGACTCTCTTTGCCCTCCTGGGACCTCCACAGCCCAAAGAGGGTTCAGAGATCTCTGCCATAAGGAACAGTAGGTGTGGGTTCAGTGGGAAAGTGGAATGTGAAGTTACAGGCACAGCAGCACCAACTCACAAGAAAGGCTGGAGGGCAAGAAAGCAATTAGAGCAGTTAGCTTGAAAAATGTGGTATGCAGAATAAAGAAAAATGTTAGGGATATTTTCTGCTGCATTCATGATGGGGACATGCATGGAGAAGTGGGATGAGATTGGAGACTAAGTGCTGGTCACCTGTCAGCTTTCCTCTAGGACATTACTGCCTTTGTAGGTGAGAAGGAGCACTGAAAATAGGCCAAATCCCCGTCCCTGGAGCAGAGGTGCAATACTACCCCAGTGGTCCAAACTGCAGTAACACCCATGGCAGAGCCTGAGCTTGCATCAGAGGACATGGCAGCCTGAAGGCTCTTGTTTTTCTCAATAAAAATAAAAAAAAGCTGCCAACTCTCTGTCAGACTCAGGCAGGGATACAAGAAATGCCCCCCAGAGCAAGTTCCAGAGATGCGGAGGCTTAAGTCAATAGTGGTAAGCAATTTTTATATAGTGCCTCCATCATCACCCAAGTGCACTGCTTCTAGTTCCCAGGGTACTACGCAATAAACAAACAATTTTTAAAAAATCTAATCATAGCAGAAACTAACCTAAAAACCGTTCTGCTGGCAAAAAAAAATCCAGGATAGCATAGCGTAGATGGCACATGAGCCTCTCCCACAGCTCTGTTACGCATGTGGTAGTCCTATCCTCCAAAGTCCTGTTGCATGTGGTGCAAAGCCTGTTGGGATGGGTTTCCAGCCATGCAGGACCTGGTGGGATCCATGGCATGAAAGCAACCAGCAATTCCTTCAGCTGCCTTCAGCTGCCTGCAGGAAAAGCAGTGAGGAATGGCGCTGAGCAGGGTTTATCAAAGATTTAAGATAAAAAATACAGCAAGCCTTGCCCTGCCCCATATGTCTCTCTCCAAATTCAGGATTTGCACATAAATATCCATAATTTTTCTCTACCCAAAAGAGCTGGGAGAAAAAAATGCATAATTTTAAATGTTCCTACTCATTTCTTCCTTTTCCTTCCCCTTTCTCCCAGGCTCTTCTCCTCCTTTCCAGTTTACTTCTGACACTTACTGGGCAGGGGCAAAGGCGGTCCCTCTCTTCTCTGGCACCAAGACTGGAGAGGAACAGGGGATGGGGGTTTTCCTCCTTTCTGGCCTCTCAGGGAAGGTTTTGGTGGCTTCAGGGGATACTGCCCCTGGATAAGGGAGGGTGAGGCTGGGCTGGGGGGTTTATGGCTTTCTATAGCCCCCTGGGAAAGATCATGAAACACAGGGAGGAGGGGAATAAAGGCACCAGCATCCAAGCAGAAGTGACAGGCAGAGGCAGGGGATGTCCCACAGAGATAAAACGTCAATCAGCAAGAGGTGTGCAGGAAAGGAGCTGGATGAACTCGATACCCATGTCCCTTGAGAGAGGCATCACAGCATACATCCACACCAAGGAGCAGTGCTTGATTTGGCTCCCAGAAAGACTGTGCCTTTCCTAATTAATGTGCATCTAATTTACTCTGCATAATTTATTTCTCTTCGAGACAACTCTCTGACAATATTTGATGTTGAATCACTTTAGAAACAAATATAGCTACTTTATCGTTCCCATCTCAGCTCACACACACACACAATTTCTGTCTCAGTGCCAGCAATTACAGCAGACCTCAGCAACGACTTTTAAAAATTGCTTATTTCTGAGCTAGAATAATCCAAATTCCCTGTCAAAAGGCATCCATTGAGCTTTTAAAAAAGGCTCAGCTCTTCTGCAAAACACAGAGGAACTGCTGACCTGTGGGAGGGCTGCTTATGCCAGGGATGCTCAGAAGGGTCCCACCCTGTCCCCAGCCATGGGAGGTGGGGGTTTGCATCTAGAGGCCACCCAGCCAGGTGTTGCCCTCACGTCTGTTCATGTCCTTTGCACCTCCTGGCAGATCTGGTGCCAGGGACGGAGTACGGCATTGGAATTTCAGCCGTGATGGACAACCAGCAGAGTGTGCCAGCAACCATGAATGCCAGAACTGGTGAGTTTGGCCCCTCTGAGTGCTCCAAGCACAGCTGGTTCCTATGGCTCAGATGTCACCATGGGACAGTTCATGCATGGGCACAGAGGTCTGCACCAACCCTCTCCCACAGAGCTTGATAGCCCACGGGATCTCCTGGTGACAGCCTCAACAGAGACATCCATCTCACTGGCCTGGACGAAAGCCACAGGTCCCATCGACCACTACCGTGTCACCTTCACCCCTGCCTCAGGGATGGCCTCCGAAGTGACAGTGCCTCGGGACAAGTCACAGCTCACCCTTTCAGAGCTGGAGCCTGGGACAGAGTACACCATCTCCATCATCGCCGAGAGAGGACGCCAGCAGAGTCTGGAGGCCACTGTGGATGCCTTCACAGGTAGAGAAAGACAAGTTGGGATGGGGCCAAGGGCACAGACCCCACCACCCCACCTTGGCACGTCCACCAGCCACCACTTCCTCAGTGCTGAAACTCTTCAGGTGGTGATGATGGGGATGACAGCAATGCATCCATGTAGGAGCAGGTCCATTGACCTCAGGAAGAGGATTGCCCTATCAGTGTGGGGGGTCACTGTCCCCTTCACCAGCAGCACTGAGCACACCTGCTTGGCTGAAGGCTCTCTTAAGAACAAGTCATGGTTGGGGGAATGGACAGTCCATGCTGTCCTCTGTGTTCAGGGTGGCTTGTATGTCCTTATGAAGGAGAAACAAAACCTTCAGTGACCTCACAAGCACCTCTGGTTGAAAAGCCTGAAGTCAAGAAGCCCAGACCACACATACTATCTATAGTGGTACAGCCCCATCACCCACCATATGGGTCTGGGATGGAGGGTGTTTGCAGGCAGAGCAAACACCATTTTTCCCCTCCTGGTTCTGCTTCAATCCCAGCAAAGTTTCAGATCAATGGAGGGCCCAGAGCTCCAGCTTTGCCACCTCTCTTGGCTATTTCCTGTACAAGTGCTGGGAACAATGTGGAGGCCAGGATCTGCAGACCAGGGTTGCATTTCTCCTCTCCATTTCGCAGGGGTTCGGCCCATTACACAGCTCCACTTCTCCCAGCTGACATCCTCCAGTGTGAATGTCACATGGAGTGACCCATCCCCACCAGCAGACCGCCTCATCCTCACCTACAGCCCTCAGGATGAAGAGAAGGCACAACAGATCACACTTGATGGCACTCACAGGCATGCCAGCCTGACGGGCTTGCAGCCATCCACCGAGTACCTGGTGTCACTGGTGGCCATGCATGGTGCCATCAGCTCTGAGCCTGTCGTGGGCTCCATCACAACAGGTACCATGGGACCCCACCCCAGAGGGGCATGGGACGCCACCAGAAGCGTGGGCAGGAGGATGGGGAGAGGATCTGCCTCACATAGTTTTGCTTTCTGTTCCATCTCACCAGGGATCGATGCGCCAAAGGACCTCAGGGTGGGCAATGTCACCCAGGAGTCCATGATGGTCTACTGGAGCCCTCCCATTGCTGCCTTTGACCACTATAGAATATCCTACCGTGCTGTTGAAGGTAATGGGTCAGACCACTCTTGTTTATGTCCTGAGCTTACAGCTGCCAACCCTCCATCCACCCAATGGCACAAGCAAGACCCAGGTCATCCTCACCCCAGGCAGCAGCGCTGTGCCCTGGGAAAAGCCACTGATAGCTGGGATGAATCAAGAGGCTGTGGGGATGGATGACAGGGTCTGGGATGAGGATGGGAAGGGACCACTGCAGCCAAGAGCCATCTTGGCACAGAGAGTGGCACAGGGAGTGACCCCTGTAGTGTACCCTCCCCAGGGATGGTTAATTCAGGGCCTGATCCTGAAATCCCACCTCCCTCACCTACTTCCCCTGGCTCATCTGACTTGGCCCTAGTTTTGCCTATGATGCCAAAAAGGTTGAGCCAGCAGAGTGATGGGTATGCAGGTGCGCACTTGCAGGCACTAAACCCAGTTACCTCCAATATCAGCCCTGGAGAGGGCTTGTGGCATTGCTCTCCCCTCCCAAGTACCTCCTGTACTCCAGGGACAGGGCCAAACGTGATGCCAAAGCTCTTGGCTCCATCCCCGCAGGGAGGACAGACAGCATCGCCATTGCCAGAGATGTCACTGAGTACACCCTCCACCACCTGCAGCCTGCCACCAAGTACGAGATTGGGGTGAAGAGCATGCGGGGCCGGGAGGAGAGTGAGGTGGCCTCCATTATCGTGCACACAGGTGGGAATGGGCTTCTGGTGGGCAGGTAGCAATCAAACAGTGCCAGATCCAGCCCCAGGCAGGGCTGGAAGCCCCTGTTCACAATAGCAATCAGGCAGCTGAGAGCAAGCTGGACCTCACGCCAGCCTGATGCAAGCTCGAGATGATAAGCGAGGCTCACAAGGACTTTTGAAGTATGCCTAGGGAAAGCTTTTCCCAAATATGTATGGGTAGTCAACGC